CCCGCCGCCCGGCCGTCGCAGCCCGCTTCAACCAACAACGATTCCGCAACATCATTGTCAAATGTCAAGAAAGAGCCTCCAGCCGCCAGGCAGCAACCACCACGCGCATGCTCGGTCCCTCTCACCACTCTGCGGGCCACCCGCGACCGCCGCTCGCACGGTCCTGCCCCAAATCCCCCAGCCGCCCATGGCCGCGCGCTCTCCGCGGCAACCTCACCCCACGCCGCTTTATTTCGAGCCCCGCGAAATGAACATGCCCGTCCCGCCTCCACTCCCCCCTCCCCCGCGTGCCCCAGGAACGAATGACAGGAGTGTCAATGTGTATAATGTCGAGACCAAGAGGACGACCTCGCGCCTCATGGGCCACAACGATGACGTCAATGCGGGTGGGGTGGGGTGGGGTGGGACGGGGTGGCGCGCTGCTTGGATTGGGGTGTGAATTGGGGGCACCGAGCCTCATCAGGCAACCGCTCAGGGGCACGTGCCTGCCGCTGATTTGGTGCCGCATGTGAAGAGAGGGTGGCGACATCTGCTTGGGGTTGCGTGGGGTGGGGGCCGAGGTGGTATGCATGGCGGGTTGATGTGTCATTGCGCAATGCGGGCCTGTCCTCCTGGAACAACGCTGCCCAAACTGGTGATGAACGTGGCTTCTGCAACGATGTCAGAGGTCAATCAGTACAATCAGCGTATCGAGCTTGAGGGGAATGACATACCTGATGTGTGGTGTCATCAATCGATTTTGCCGCCATCATGCGCATGTCCCCCCCCCCACCCCCCAACCAGTGTGCTACCTGGAGGAGGGCCCCAACATGATCGCCAGCGGCAGCGACGACTCCACCATCAAGGTGACCAGCCACGGGCGTAACCCGCGATCTGGTCACCCGATGATCTAACGAATTGGTCCCTGGCAAGGGGCCTCTTGGTTTAGGCCGGGGTCCTTGCCCAGGCTTGCGGCCCAGTGGTGCCTGCTTGGATCCCTGTGTTCTGGGGGGGGGGGGGTGTACTGGATACTGTGAGTTTGCAAGCTCACAATTTTGTCAGATAAGTAAACCCCGCCTCTCATCATTCGGCTACGCGTCCCCCGGCCGCAGGTCTGGGACCGGCGGCTGGCGGGCACCTCGTGCCGCCGCCCCGTGGGCATCCTGCTGGGCCACACGGAGGGCCTCACGCACCTCTCGGCGCGCGGCGACGGCAGGTGCGCCGCTCTCTTTAGCCCCCCTCCCCTCTCCTCGTCCTGGGGTGGGCTCCTGCATTCCTGAGTGCGGCGACGCGACTTTTTGACTCATCTCAGCAGTGCGTGCCCCGCATACATGCATCGGAATCCAACCCAAAGTCTTCACAGGATCAAGCCCTGCACACTATCATCGATCACCACCTTTGGGTGGGCCCGAGCGCCACAACGCACCGCACTTTTGAAACTTTCAAACCAACAGGTACCTGCTGTCGAACGCGAAGGACCAGACCGCGCGGCTCTGGGACGTGCGGCGCATGCGGACGCCGCAGGAGGCGCGGTCGCTGCCGCCGGCGTCGTTCCCGCGGCAGTCCTTTGACTACCGCTGGCAGGGCTACCCAGGTGCGCCCACTGGTCAACCAAATTTGCACAGATTAGCTTCTCTTCGTTTGCGAGCAGCCTGTTCAGGTCGCGTTGCCTCACAGCGCGGTGCTACAGGGAACTCTTGACATGGGACGCCCCTTGTGACTGGGCTGCCCCTGCCTGCACAAGCCCATGGACCCTTCAGCTGCCGCTCCGCACGGCTCCCTTGGTTGGATCAGCACCTGTGCCACGCGCCAGCGGCAGCCAAAACGTAGCTGTCGGCTGACTCTTCCTTGACCCCCCTCCCTCCCTCCAGCCGCTGGCTATGAGGTCAAGCACCCTCATGACAGCAGCGTCCAGACGTACCGCGGCCACAAGGTGCTGCAGACGCTTATACGCGCCTACTTCAGGTGAGTATTGGGCTTGCGGGGGTGCGAGTGTGCGTATGCACGTGCGTGCGTGTGTGTGTGTGTGTGTGTGTGTGTGTGTGTGTGTGTGTGTGTGTGTGTGCGCGCGCGTGTGCGTGCGCCTGTGTGCGCACGCGTCTCTCGCTCCTGAGCGTATGCAATCTAAACAAGCGGGTCGAATCAGGAATGTTATGTGCACTGATTTTATTTTTTGAATGGTGCGGCAGGGGTTGGGGCCGGCAGGCGGGCTGCCAGCAGGCTCACGGCCCCAATTGAGCCTTCCCAGGCCCCCACCTCGGCGCTGTCAAGGCGCCCCTTGCTGCCAACCTTCACCACCCGTTATCAACCCTCCTCCCACACGCGCACCCTCCGTTGCCGCCTGCCCTCAGCCCCGCCCACAGCACAGGGCAGCGCTACGTCTACTCGGGGTCCTCCTGTGGCAGCGTCTTCGTGTGGGACCTCGTCACAGCACGCCAGGTGCGGCAACGGCGCGCACCCGCCGCCCCCGCCCGCCTGTCCTGCATTGCTGGTTTTGCAGCCGGCTTGCTGCGGCACACTGGCTGCTGGTCGCGCCACAGCAGGCTTGATGATCTTTGACCAGGTTTGACCCAGCCGGCGTCGCCCCCAAATCTCTGCAAATCCTTTAAGGGTATGCACCAGCCCAGCCCCCGCCACCAGCAGCGGCTCCGCAACCCCTTCTCCCCCTCATCATTGCACCCTCCCCCTCCCCAGCCCTGAAAACGCACCACCCCACCTGCCGCGCGTCAGGTGGCCGTGCTGCACCACCATCGCGAGATCGTGCGCGACTGCAGCTGGCACCCGCACGAGCCGGAGCTGGTGTCCGTGTCATGGGACGGCACGGTGGTGCAGTGGGACGCCGCGGCGCCGGGGGCAGGGCCGGCGGACAGCGCCGAGGCCGCGCTGCGCCGCGAGGCGGCCGGCTACGGCGACAGGTTTGACGGCATGTACTGAGACGCGGCGCCGCGGCGCCTTGATGCGCGCCGCGTCGTCGGCAAGAAGGGGGCGCCGGCGCGCGCAAAGGGCGCGACGGGCACGCTGCGCTGTGGCGGATGGCGGCGGCCGGCGGCGCCGTGGGCCGAGCTGGCAGCTCTGCCTCTGCGCGCAAGGTTTCAGGGCTTGAAATGCACTTAGGTGCAAGGCTTGATTGTTGTGTTTTTCAGGAAGCTTCTACCCCTCATCGGTAGGCGCGCGCCAGGACGCACCTGTTGGGCTGCTGCGGCGTGTGAAGCCAAGCCGCCCTTATTCGGGCTGTTTTGCGCGACGTTTGAGCATCTGCGGGCTTGCGACACAGGCACGGCGCGCTTCAATCGTCCCCCGAACCGGCTTCGTGGGTGCCGTTGCTGCTTGCAGCGCAAGTCTTTTTCGCGCAGGTTGGCTGGTCACTGAATATTGCCCAGCAGTGTCGAGCATACAGGCCGCGCGTTGGCGGCCGCGCTGCATTCCGTTAGCGTCGACCCCAGGCGTCCTGCCGGCCGCAGCTCTGTTGTACCCTTTGTACATGAATGGCTCGCTGCTGGCGGCCCTTTCATATAACATTGTCAACCGGTCTGCCCAGAGCCACAGAAGGCTCCATGCAACCCATTGTTCAGGCATTCATGCTGCTGGGCAGCCAGGCGTGTTGTGTTTGTATTTTACCGTGTACATGTTGGACGATTCCAACATGTACACGGTACATGTTGGACAATTTGCTGCCGGGTGGTATTAGTTGTTGGGATGCGCAAGTCATTCCGTGCTGTACATAGCATCATTCACGCCTCTGTAATCAAGCATCATGTTGTAGTCCAATGCATGTGCACTCGTGGGACAAGGGTTGATGATGGGTGTGAAGGTGTGGGGCCCAACATGCGGCGCCAGGTTGCGCTTTTGCACGAGAGTGCCGATTGGCTGGCGCAGTGCTTGGCAGCAACTCTACATCCAAGGAGGAAGGCTTGTGAGACTCCCAACTGCTGCGCCCTGATGGGGCCAGCAGGGTCACGTGCAGGACCCTTGACCACCCAATCAATTCGGTCAACACCGGAGTGTCCGTCACCCACCCCCTCTGATCTGCCCAAACTTTTGCTTGATTGCCGGCACTTCTTGACTGCTAGCCGCGCTGTCAGCGCAACGCGGCTACACCAGCATTTGGCACACCTGCACATTGCACGCAGCACAGCATGCTGCACAGCATCTGGAGTGCAGGAGTTGGCTCTCTGTCCGTGGAAGCACGGCGCAATTGTTCTTCAAATGGTTGAAAAGCGCATTGTTTCAACTGGTTTGGCACTAATTTAGACAGTAGGATTGCAAGATCAATCTACCCAGGCGTTTCGCATCCGTGCTTCTTCGCCCATTTGAGCCCGTTCAGCGGCTACACAGCCACACGCCAACATGCATCTACATGGCATTCAGCGGCTGGCCACCAGGGCACCTCGCGCCGTTTCGCATGGTCGCCCCGCCCTCTTTGCGGGATCCGCCCGCCGCAGCTTTGCTTGCCGCGCAGCTCCGTCGGCCGACTCATCGGTGGAGTCGCCGCCCGGCCTGCGGCCGGAACCATGGACGGGTGGCCCCGAGCAGCAGCAGGCAAGGCGCAGGGCTTGCACTTGCAGCCTCACCTGGGATATGCCAAGGCAGTGGGCTTCCCGCCAATTCGTTTGACAGTCATTTGGAGTGATCGACCCATGCGCGCCCCCACCCCACCTCCGCCCGTGGAAAGCACATCAACCCCTCTGCCGCCATGCCGCTCCATGCGCCATCCATGCCCCATGCATGCGCCATGCAGGCCCTGGCAGAGCTCAGGGAGCGCATGCAGAGGTCACCCCTGGGTTGCCCGGACGACGAGACCCTTAAATGGTACCTCCGTGACAGGTGCGGGCCGGCGCCCGGCCGGTTGACGCGCCCCGCCGCTTCTACCATGCCCACACTTGAAGCTGCCGCCGGCCCGGCCAAAGCCTGTCGAACCGTGGCCATCCATGATCAAATGCTGCGGTATGAAGCTGGAACGTGTTGTTTTGAGTTTCCCGCCTGTTTCACACCACAGGTACTTCAAAGTGGAGGACGCAGAGGCCAAGCTCACGTCGATGCTGAAGTGGCGGCAGGACGAGAAGTGAGGGCCCATGGGCGGGACCCACACCTGCTGCCCTGCGTTGCCTGTCCTGCACCCTGTCTCACCGCCTCATCATCGCACCTCAGCCATCCTGCCGTCCTCTCGGCGCATCTGATGCATTTTTGAACAAAGCGACGGGCATACATCAGCATGTCCTCACGCCCCGTTGCCTTCCGGCTGGCGTGTCTGCTCGTCTGCTGCATCTGCTTTGTTGTTGACCACATCTCCCCCTGTTGACCCACGCCTTTGTCCCTTAAGGATCGACCAGCTGGACCTGTCCCTGGTCCAGGCGGAGCTCGCCACCGGCAAGGCCGAGGTGCACGAGCACACCGACAAGTTTGGACGGCCCGTCGTCATCATCCGCGTCACAAAGCACGTCATTGGTGAGCACAGGGGGGCGTTAATTTGTAAGTGTGCGTGCGTCCGTGCATGTGTATGTGCATGTGTGTGTGTGTGTTTGTGTGTGTGTGTGTGTTTGTATGTGTGTGTGTGCATTTGCGTACATGCAGACGTGTGTGTTTGTTATGTGTGCAGAGCGAGCAGTCGAGGGGGTATCACTTTCCTGGACAGCAAAAGCAGGGCCCCATAATATCGAAAAGTCTCACTGCCGCCCCACCTCTTTGCCACCCACCAGGCGAGTTCCCCCTGTCAGAGAGCAAGCGCCTCTGCGCCCACGTTCTCGACAACGCCGTCGCGTCGCTGCCGCCCGGCGGGGAGCAGATCATGGGCATATTCGACCTGAAGGGCTTTGAGCTGCGCAACGCCGACCTCCAATTCGCAGCATTCCTCGTGGAGGCTTTCTTTGAGTACTACCCCCGCAGGTCCGAGGTTACTGAAAAGGGGGGGCATGAGAACTTTGGTGTCGTTGGGTGCAGCCTGCTGTGGCAGCATTTACTCAACCCGAGGTGGTGGCGGTGCCGATGTCGTCATGCACGCTGGGCTTGTTGTCGCGGCAGCTGACGCGCCCCTGGCTGACAATTTTTTTTTCATTGTGCCTGCGTTGAGTCGTGGCTAGAGAGGGGTTTGAGGCGCCAGGTGCGCATGCGAGTCGCAGGGAAGGTGGAGCGCTGCGGCTGCATCACCTTGGGAGACCCCTGCAGTCGGCTTTGCTGCTGTCTGGGCATGGGTTTGGAACTGGATGCCAGAATAAACTTGCGCCTGCTGGACCCGCTCCACCCGCACAGGATGGGCCAGGTGCTCATGGTGGACGCGCCCTGGATCTTCCAGCCCAGCTGGGCGGTCATCAAGCCCCTGTGAGCCCCACCACGCGCCGCCTGGCGCGCATCCGGCCCTGTCGGCTGCTTGCGCGCGTGCGGCGCCTGCCTAGCCAAATTATCAATAGCGCGCAGCCTCCGGTGTGCTTCCTCTGCGCTGCGTTGTTTCAGACTTCATCCCTGCTGCGCCAGCTTCCCCTGGCTTGGCCCCGCCCATGCTTGCCCCGTCGCCCCCCTTTGAGCATCGCGCGCCGCTCACCCCCAACCCACGCGCCCCCCAAACCCAACGCCACCAGACTCCGCAAGTACTCAGCCCTGGTGCGCTTTGTGGACCGGCCCACACTGCAGCGGGAGTATTTCGAGGCGGGGAAGCTGCCTCAGGACCTGCAAGTATGAACCACTGGCTGCAGTCCTGGTACTGTAACTTGTACCTGCTTGATGACAAATGTGGGCAGGCCAGGCAGGAATGTCACGAGGCCATGAATGGCTGCCAGATAATTTCTGCGGGGCATGTGATAGCAGCAGGCCTGTCCAACGTGAGCTGGGGGTCAGATTTATGTCAGGATGAGGTGCCAAAACGACGAGTTGGTCTGCGCAGCACGGGCCAACAAATGTGGTAAACTATTCCTGTTTATATAGGCAACTTTGATTGAGTGAACTGGCACACGAGCATCCGGCAAGGCGGCAAGCATCCAGCAAGCCGTTCAGCGTCCGGCAAGCGGCGTGACAAATCCTGAACACCACCATGCGAGCACAGGCAAGCTCACCCCGGATGGCACCCCGACCGCGCACCTTCAAGTTGTAGACTGCTAATCCACCCGTAGAGCAAATATTGAACGTTATGAGGTGTTTCCTTGCGTCGCATAAGATCGGTGGCTGCGTGGCTCCCAGCCCGGCTGCACTGTTTGTGGAAATCACGGCGGGGCCAAAGCCTTGCAATCTTACGCGGATCTCAGCAAGGAGGTGCGCCGCGCAACTAAGGGTCGTGCGGCTCAATTTTTGTCTGAACCCCGGCGCAGCAGACAGCGACCGGGCGCACCAGGATGCTGAACGCTCCATTGTGCACAAGGCAACACGCTCCGTGGAGGCTGCTCACCCCCTGCCCGTCTTTGTATTCCACAAACGCACCAGCAGCAGTACTCTTTGATCCTCGGGGGGCAGTACGCGCAGCAACAGGTCGCCGGCGGGCGCCAGCATGCGGCAAGCCTTCGGCGGGGCCGAGGGTCTCTTGGCCCTGCCATTTGAGGTCCTGCAGGACATCATCACCCGCCTGCCAGACCCAGCCGCCCTCTCCGCCACCAGCAGGGCGGCACAGCGGCTGTGTGGCCAGTCTGACCTGGCGTGGTTTGCAGCGCGCCATCGCGACGCGGCGCCGGGGCGGCCATGGCAGTATGCCGCGCTCACATGGCGCCAGCTGCAGCGGCAGTCAGTGGAGGGCATTGCCCTATGGCTGCTGCGCTATGCCCGCTTTCAACAGCAGCAGCAGCAGCAGCAGCAGCAGCAGCAGCAGCAACAGCAACAGCAGCAGCAGCTTGGCGCAGAGCCAGACGTCGCAGCTGCCCAGGCGTGCCTGCTGTTGGACAACGATGCACTCGGCGCGCTGCTTGCATTATGCGGCCCCATGGCGCCGCTCCTGCTGCTGCCGTACGCAGCACAGGGCAGCGTTTGCTCGTTGCTACAGCACGCGCCGATGCAGCGCCTGCTGTGCCCGGCCGACGGCTTTGACCTGGGCGGCGGCGCGCGGCGGGTGCCTCAGAAGGCTCAGATCCTGGCTGCCGCCAAGTCGGCCCTGTTGGTAGGGCACTGGGCGGCAGCGGAGTGGTTGTGCAGTTTCCTGCGCAGTTCCCCCGAGCACGTGGAGGGTATGGCGGCGCTGCAGGTGCTGGCTGTCCGCCGCTGCCCAGCCCACATCGCGCATGCCGCGCTGGTCTGTGGGCTGCGCTGCGAGCCCGCGGCCCTGCGCCGCGCCTTCAGAGAACGCGGCACGCCAGATGTGTTCGCATTGTGCCACCAGCAGCTGACTGCCAGCCTGATGGTGCCGCTTTACCAGCAAATGGTGGAAACGGGCGTCGCTGTCAAGTTGGCCCACCGCAAAGCGAGCGCCATGGCGTGCTGGCAAGCCGCCGTGCAGCTGTGCCTGTGGGGCGTGCCCGCCGGCCCGTGGCCGGCGCTGTGCCATGTGGACGTGCAGGAGAAGCTTCTCGATCTCTCGACCAGCGACTATCCAGCTGTTGTCCCGCGAGTTGGGGAGCTGATCGCGGGCGCAGCCGTGGCGGCGGCGGTTGCGGATCACCCGATTCTGCTTGACCGTATCTTGATGCGCCTGCCGGATTGGCTGGCGGCGCGCGGCAAGGGCCTGCAGCACGCGCAGGCGCTGGCTGACGCGGTCTGCCGCCTCACCAGCGACGACGGCGCCGGCTCCACTGGCTGGGGCGACCCCGAAAGCTGGGACAAGGGCCTGCCCCCGCTGGCGCCCGCGGCGTTGTTTGCTGCTCTCGACAAAATATGGGCGGCGGCGAGGCGAGGCGGCATCCGGATCGGGCTGCTGCAAGCGGTGGTGGCGGCGGCGGCTTCCTCGTCAGGGGCCGCCCCGCACCCTGTGACGATGTCGATGGCCGGACGCGCGTGGCTGGTGCCTCACCTCTCGCGCGCCGGCCTGCGGCTTGGCGTGCTCGACGCCCAGCCTTCTATGTCGGCGCTGCGTCGCCAGCTGGCAGGGTGCAGCTTTGGCGGCGTGGGATACCAGTATGAGCGCAATGGCATGTCGGGTGCGGTCCTGGAAAAGGAGGTGGATAACATGGCTTATGCCTACTACAACGCCATCAAGGACACCGGCAGCCGGCTCGTGAAGCTTCCACGCGACGAGCGGCTGCAGCTGGCCGTCATGCGCGCCGTGCGGCGCGGCCGGCCCTGTGACGTTGTTCGTGCGCTGCAGGAGCAGTGGGACATTGAGAGACAGGTGGGCTGGGAGCAAAGGTTGTCACATTCGCATGCGAACAGGCATGGCCAAATAAAGAGCTACACTAGCATGCGTGCGCATGCATGCACGCGGGCCAGGTGAGCTAGGAGCAAAGATTGTCACACTCGCATGCAGACAGGCATGGCCAAACATGAAAAAATTCGCGCGCGCTCGCGCGCACGCACACACACACACACACACACACACACACACACACACACACACACACACACACGCACACGCACACGCGCGCGTGTCCGAAACTCTTATCGCCCGTGCATCATCCTGACCGCAGGTGCTTGACGCACTGCAGGTGGCGGCACTGGAAGAGGCCGACGAATTGGAGGACGAGGCGCCGCCCGAAGGTGCCCCCGGATTTGACCCAGAGCACCCTGCTTGGCATGAGTGGGTCGAGGAGCTGACAGCGATGCAGGAAAAGATCATTGCCGCGGCAGCAGCCGCAGGCGAGGCAGGCTGCACAGAAATCCTTTGGGCAGTGCTGGACAGCCCTCAGGCGCGGCACATGGCCGGGAGCGACGAGGGAAACGCCTGGGACGCGCGGCGGCTGGTCGCGCGCAGGTGCTGCACGGCCATGGACGCTGCGCTGTGCGGCGCGCTGCGCAGCGGGCATGGCGGGATCATAGATTGGCTGGGGGAGTTGGGCGCTCGGCAAGGGGTGCCCGACGTAATCCGAGGCCGGCTCCCCCCTTTGCTGCCAGCAGGCCTGTGGGTTGACAGCCTGTGCGCGCTGTTTGGCGCGCGCGTGACCGGCGGCGCCGCGCCACGGGGGCCCTTCTGCGGGTTCTGGGGCGGCGGCAGTGACGCGTTCGACCTTCTGGGGCGCGTCGTGCGCGCCTGGCCTGCAGAGGGGTGGGTGTTTGCGGAGCTGCTGCATGCAATTGACTACCCCAATGAGGTCCATGTTTGGCCTTTCCGTGCGTGCGTGTACGACGGCGAGCTGATGGCATGGCTGGCGGCGCAGGGCCACCCGCGCGAATGGGCGACGTATGTCAGGAGCTCTACGGCGGGCCAGCTTCTCACCCAGTCGGCGGGCGCGGACGCGTTCCGGGCGGCGGTCGAGTGGCTCGCGGTCGCTGAGTGGTTTCCAGACGTGGCAGCAGCTGACTGACGCCTTGCACGGTGCGTTTCTGCTGCCAGATTTGGAGCACACCTGCAAACCCTAGTGATCCAGTTGCCTGCCTCCCAAATAAATCCGCGCCATGCCAGCTTTGCAGCTACAGCTGGGTAAATGATCCTAGCTTGATAATGAAGAAGATTTACAGAAGGAGGCAGGCCAGGCAGGCGTGCAGTAAGGCCATATATTGCTGCCAGAATATCTATATGGGCGTGTAAGAGCAACACGCCTGTTCAGCCCAAGGTGACGGCCGGATGCTTGCAAGCAAGGTCAAGTTGCCAGGCACAGGAACAGGCTGGGATGTGCAGCATCGGCCAACAGATGAAGTTGGTAAGAATTTATGGTATGTTTCATGGAAGTGGTATTGCCTCTACTAGCACACGAGCGCCCGGCAAGCCGTGTGTCCTGCACACCGCCACAAGGCGAGCACGGCGGGCGGGCAAGCTCGCCCGGACAGCAGCCCGACCGCGTACCTCCTAGACCTTGTAGATTGTCGATCCGCTTTTGGTGCAGGTATCGTTTATGTTACTACCATTGTGCCATGTTTCCTTGCGTCGCATGAGATCCGTCACTGGTGCTGCTCTCACCCCGGTTAAACTGTTTGTAGAATCCAAGGCGGAGGCACTGTTTCGCGATCTTACGCGAGTATAAGCAAGGAGGCGCGAAGCGCAAGTACGGGCTGGGCAGCTCTTGTTTGAAACCCGGTGCGGCAGACAGCGGCAGAGTGTGTGTACCGGGACGCTGAACGGCTCCACCGTGCACTTGGTGGCACGCTGTGTGGAGGTTGCTCACCCCCTGCCCGTCCCTCTATTCTACCAAACACACAAGCAGCAGCAGCCTTTAAGCCTCGGGGAGCCAGACCGGGCGCGTAGCACTTGATCGCTGGTGGGCGCCGCCATGCTGCCGGCACAGGTCCTCGGCGGCGCCGAGGGTCTCTTGGACCTGCCATCTCAGGTCCTGCAGGACATCATCACCCGCCTGCCAGACCCAGCCGCCCTCTCCGCCACCAGCCGGGCGGCGCAGCGGCTGTGCGGCCAGTCTGACCTGGCGTGGTTTGCAGCGCGCCACCGAATTGCGGCGCCGGGGCGGCCATGGCAGTACGCCGCGCTCACATGGCGCCAGCTGCGGCGGCAGTCAGAGGAGGGCATTGCCCTGTGGTTGCTGCGCTATGCCCGCTTTCAACAACAGCAGCAGCAGCAGCAGCAGCAGCAACAGCAACAGCAGCAGCTTGGCGCAGAGCCAGACGTCGCAGCTGCCGAGGCGTGCCTGCTGTTGGACAACGATGCACTCGGCGCGCTGCTTGCATTATGCGGCCCCATGGCCCCGCTACTGCTGTTGCCCTATGCAGCACAGGGCAGCGTCGCGTCGCTGCTGCGACGCTGGTCGGTGCAGCGCCTGCTGTGCCCATCCGCCGGCTTTGACCTGGGCGGCGGCGCGCGGCGGGTGCCTCAGAAGGCCCAAATTTTAGCTGCCGCCAAGTCAGCCCTGCTGGTAGGGCGCTGGCTGACAGCAAAGTGGTTGTGCAGTCTGCTGCCCAGTTTCCCCTCGCACCTTGAGGGTGTGGCGGCGCTGCAGGAGCTGGCCGTCCGCCGCTGCCCAGCCCACGTCGTGAAGGCCTCGCTGGTCTGTGGGCTGCGCTGCGAGCCTGCGGCCCTGCGCCGCGCCTTCAGAGAACGCGGGGACACCGCCGACGCGCCAGATGTGTTCGCGCTGTGCCACCAGCAGCTGGCTGCCAGCCTCATGGTTACACAATATCAGGACATGGTGGAAGCAGGCACAAAGTTTTCACACCGTGAATTGAGCGCCACGACGGGCTGGCAGGCCGCCGTGCAGCTGTGCCTGTGGGGCGTGCCCGCCGGGCCGAGGCCGGCGCTGTGCCATGTGGGCGTGCAGGAGAAGCTTCTCGATCTCGCGACCAGCGACTATCCAGCTGTAGTCCCGCGAGTTGGGGAGCTGATCGCGGGCACAGCCGTGGCGGCGGCGGCTGCAGGTAAGCCGTTTCTGCTTAACCAGATCCTGATGCGCCTGCCGGATTGGCTGGCGGCGCGCGGCAAGGGCTTCCAGCACGCGCAGGCGCTGGCGCACGCGGTCTGCCGCCTCACCAGCGACGACGGCGCCGGCTCCACTGGCTGGGGCGACCCCGAAAGCTGGGACGAGGGCCTTCCCCCGCTGGCGTCCGCGGCGCTGTTCGCTGCTCTTGACAAAATATGGGCGGCAGCACGGCGAGGCGGCATCCAAATGAGGCTGCTGCAGGCGGTGGTGGCGGCAGCAGCTCCCTCGTCAGGGGCCGCCCCACACCCTATGACGATGTCGATGGCCGGACGCGCGTGGCTGGTGCCTCACCTGGCGCGTGCCGGCCTGCGGCTTGGCGTGCTCGACGCCCAGCCTTCTTTCAAGGCGCTGCGCCGCCAGCTGGCAGGGTGCAGCTTTGGCGGCGTGGGGCCTCATGACTGCGGGCCAAAGGGCGCGTGGGGCGGGGTCTTTGAAGAGGAGGTGGATAACATGGCTTATGCCTACTGTGAAGGCAGCACGAACGCCGACAGCTGGCGCCTGAACCTTCCACGCGCCGACCGGCTGCAGCTGGCCGTCATGCGCTCTGTGCGGCACGGCTGGGCCTCTGATGTCGTCCATGCGCTGGACGAGCAGTGGGACACCCAGAGCCAGGTGGGCTGGGAGTCATTCTTGTCACACTCACGTGTAATCGTGTACGGCCAGATAATGAGCTAAGCTTGCACATGCATGCGCTCGCACGCATCACACACACACACACATACAAATGCACGCACGTGCGCACACACACAATTACGCAAACTAGTGATTGAAAACCCCTCCTGGTTGCACATCATCCTGACTGCAGGCACTTGACGCGCTGCAGGCGGCAGCGCTGGCAGAAGCGGATGCGTTGGAAGACGAGGCGCCGCCCGATGGCGCCGACGACCCTGACTTGGACGATGAGCACCCTGCGTAGCAGGCGTGGGTCACGGAGCTGACAGCGTTGCAGGAAAACATCAGCGCTGCGGCGGCGGCCGCAGGCGAGGCGGGCTGCACAGAAGTGCTGCGAGCGGTGCTGGGCAGCCCGCAGGCGCTGTACATGGCCGGGAGCGACGAGGGGGACGCCTGGGACTCGCGGCGGCTGGTCGCGCGCAGATGCTGCGCGGCCGCGGACGCCGCGCTCTGTGGCGCGCTGCGCAGCGGGCACACAGGAATAATAGATTGGCTGCGGCAGTCCGGCGCTCGGCGAGAGCTGCTTGACGTGACCCGGGGCTGGCTCCAACCTGTGCTGCCGGCCGGGCTGTGGGTGGACAGCATGTGCGTGCTGTTTGGCGCCCGCGTGTGCGGCGGCGTTGTGCCGCGGGGGCCTTCCTGCGAGGCCCCGGGCCGAGGCGGTGCGTTCCCCCTGCTGCGCCGCGTCGTGCGCGCCTGACCTGCGGAGGGGTGGGCGCTTGGGGAGATGCTGCACGGATTTGACTACCCTGAGGACTGCTGCGTGTGGCCTTTCCGTGCGTGCGTCTACGACGGCGAGCTGATGGCGTGGCTGGCGGCGCAGGGCCACCCGCGCAAATGGGCGCGGTACGTCAGGAGCTCGACGGCAAACAAGCTGCTCGTGCACGCGGGGGGCGCGGACGCGTTGCGGGCGGCGGTTGAGTGGCTGGCGGTTGCTGAGTGGGTCCCGGTGTTTGACGACGCCTGACGCCCTGTTGGGGCTGTTCTGGCTGGCAGGTTCCGAGCACACCATCAGTTTTGAGCATATATGAACTTAAGCATGCTTATGATATAATTCACAACAACATGGTTGCCTGTAAAAATGTGGTCCATGCTGGGGCAGTACACAGTATATCATCTGCTGTCGGTGTGACGGCATCACGCCACATGGTGGTGATAAGTGATCAGCAACCGAAGATGTGCAGCAGCAACCAATGTGCCTGAGCAGTAATATAAATCTGTCACCACACGGTACATACATGCCTCAGCCCCTGTCTTGACTGGATTACTGCAGCAAAAATACTCCGCGTGTCAGATCGGGAGCTCAGTGACCCAGCTGGTGCTTCAATTGTTATAACTTTTAAACGTGCGCTGAGACGACAGGTGCAGCCCACCTCCTGGGTGATCTTGTGGAAGGCTGATCGTGTCATGCCATACAAGTACTATCAATCGCATTCACTGGTTCACGGTCGCTTACTACACACACTTCACACAAACGCCGACTGCCACTCTGCAGCTGAGTCGCCGGCCCCGTCCCTCGCGCATCCTCGCTCGCAGCGGAAAGCGGCAGCGGCTGCGATCCACGGCGCACGAGCGCGCGCCCCAGCACACCGCGGCAGGAGCAGCCATGGCGGGCGGCGACCGCAAGCCGCGCGGCGAGCTGGGGGAGCTAAGCGCGCAGCTGCAGGGGCTGTGCACCAAGGGGAAGCGCACGGACAAGGAGCTGTCCTCAGCCAAGCGGGAGGTCTTCAAAAAGGCAAGAGATCCGCGAGGCAGCCTCGGCAGCGTGCAAACCACGCATACCCTACACCTTGGCGCGCCGCGGGCCGCCCCACACGCGACCCCTTGCGTCCTCGCGCCGCCCCGCGTCGCGCCCCGACCCCCACACGGCCCTACCC